CTATTAAGGAGGTCAAGGGTATTAAGGGGTTGCAGGAATTAAGCAAAGAAGTGGAGGAAGAAGGTGTTGGAGATATCTCATCCATAGGATCGCCATGAGTTGAGATTGTCTCGAAGGGAGTTAACAACAACAAAGATTGATATTGTGCTCCCAATTACAGACAGTGGATATGTGAGCCTAACCACTGCTTGCCTTAGACAATCCAGGGAATGGAGGTAAGCCTGTGGCTGAGGCAAAGATTGAACTAGGGACTGGTTGCGGTTTACAGGCTAGTGTCTTAGCTGTTCTGCTATGCTCGAGATACTGCCAGGGCTAATAAAAGAGAAAGATGGGGATGACTGGTTGGTGGTTAATGGAATATGTTGACTCCATGAATGAGGAGAGGCTCAGGAGTCACTGGCTGAGTCTATGATGAGATGGAGCACCATACCTGCTAGCTTGAGTGTGCTTTGTGTCTCCAGCCTGAGAAGCAGCGCTCTTCACCCCACCCCCTGATATATACATCTTAAATCTCCTCCACTAACACCACACTTTGGTTTCCAAGCACTTTAACCTTTTTCCTCTGCAGAGATTGCTCTGTGCTGAATAGAGGCTTAATTTGCTGACAAACATAAAGTGGCACTCACTGCCTGGCACCTTCCAAGGGCAACCCTATAATAACATGGTGGTGTACACAGAAGAAACAGAGAAAAAGAGAGGAGAAGGGCAACTCCAGTCAATCCTTGACTCTGAGCAAAAACAGCCAGGAGGGCAAGAGGACAAACATCCAGCATGGCAGGACCTTGGCAGCTGCCCACACACAGATCCATCTGTGCCTTGACCTACTGCAACACCTTGTCACACTCCAGCCCCTCCTCACACAGTTTTGCCAATGCACCTCAATGCAGCACTTTTTACTATTCTGGTCTTGCCATCTCCACACATACAGATACGGCTCTGAATCTGCACATCAATCCTGACTTGCAGCGCTTGTTCCAGCACCCCTGCTAGGATCACACGCTTGCATGCCTTCCATGCTCATCCATTCTCTCCAGTAGCTATTCCTTAGCAGGCCCAGCCATAGCTTCCCTGGGTGCTCATTTCTACTCATGGCCCTCAACTCCTGAATATGCAGCTCCATCTCTGCTATTTGATGACCGAGACAGACATTCATTCCCTTCTCTCGTTTTTATGCATACTTTACATCCTAGGATTCACATATTCTACACATTACACACACACATGGATGTGTGCAGTAAGGGGGAGGGAGAATTCAGGGACCTAAATAAAGATTGAGAGCCAGTGTAGTGTTGTGGTTTGAGTGTTGGAGACCAGGGTTTGAATTTTCACTTGGCCATGCTCTCAGCCTGAGAGGAAGACAATCACAAACACACACACCCTGAACAAATCTCGCCAACAAAACCCTGTGATAGGCACACCTGAGGGTCTCTGTACATTGAAAACAACTTGAAGGCACATAACAACAAATAAAGGTTACAGCTGTATAAAGGTGCATCAGAAGGGCTTATTTTGTAAAATTTGCATTGTTTCTGCAAGTTAGGGGAAACACAAAATGGGCTTTAGAGAGACTGAAGTTCTGTTTCCTGATTTCTGGAAACCATGCTCGACTCCCTTTCTGCTTGCAACCCACCCGCCAGTTTGAGATTTCATGAACATAATGCCATAAACTAGCAGCTCCACAGCCTTGAAAACTAGCTTCACAGCCTTGAAAACTAGAAACTATGTATCTCTTTTTTTAAAATAAAAGAATAGTAGCACTTCTCTGGGTAATAAATTGTGCCCAGGATGAATTAGAGCACCGGTATGAAGTACAAGCTAACAATGTTAACACAAGAAGCTCCTTTTACAAAGTCGTTTGATGCTTGCCCAGCTCCCCTTTCTTTCTTTTCTGCTTTATAGCTGGAAGTTCATTACACAGTATAAGCACTGGAGCATGGTGAAGGAAGGCCAGAAAAACACAGACATTGGAGTTGTATTGCAGCAGCGTGTCTGCAGTAAAAGGTGCAATAGAACCTGAGCTGGAAAAGAGAGGTTTTTTGCTCTAGCTGATCCTATTGTAGCTGTGTGTGCCTGCCTACAACAGGTGAGGTAAAGAGCAGCTTCCTCCAGAATCTGGGCATGTATGAACAGTAAAACAGAGAAAAGGGGAGAGTAGATAAATCTGCCTCACCAGCTACCCCCAGCAGAAATCTCTAAATTTGGTCACCAAAATGGATATCGTGAAAAAAATAAAGGCTAGTAAAAGTAAAAAGAAAAATCAAGCCTTGATGCATTTTGGAAGAAGACTTTGAATGGTCTCTAGAAGGTTCAAAATGTTATTGTCTACTTATGCAAGGTTTATTTGACCTTTTCATTTCACACATGCATATTGTTAGTTTTGGACAAAGGATTTACTAAAACATGTTGGACTGTTCTTCTTTCTTGGGATGCAGAAAAACCTGTTCCTATTCTTTACATATTATTTCTGCCTCTGGCACCAAATTTTCTGTTAAAGAAATGCCCAGGGACACATCTACTTTGTTAAATGAGCTATAACTGTAACTATGGTGTGGTGTTTTTTCTCCCCTCCAATCTAGTACAAGCAAAACATCTTTGTTAGGCTTTGCTGCTCCACCCGGAGCCCAGTATTAATGTTTCCCATTCTGTCCTCAGGCTCCTTCCCTGGTGGGGCTAAACTGCTTGATACCTGCTTATAGCCCTACAGGCCGTAAATGTCCCATTTCTACTGTTCCACCACAATGAGAGCTGCCAATGCTCCTCAAGCCCAATGTGGGCATTTTCCTGCTATTTCGGTGCCAGCTCAGAGCTTGCCAATGGCTACAGTCCTGCATCAGGATGTGTTGTGCGGTAAAACACTCCAGACAAACCTCTACCAGCATTTTTTGAGAAAAAGAAAAGAGTGAAAAGAAACAGGGGCCACCAAACTCATTTCACAAGTGACCTAAATCCTAGCTCTTCACCTGCATCTCTGGAGACGAAGGATTGACTCTGAAGTTAATTAATGTCTCAGACAATTGTGCTGTTTGCTGCAATGTGCATCTTTTATTGACAGTTCCAAAGGCATGTTCTGCAATGACCAAATGGGGATTCAGTCTCCACCATGTGAGAGTAAAGGACCTTCAGGTGAACCCAGAGTCTATGCTCACCCCATATAACCCCAGATCCTGTGTCTCTTTGACAGTGTATCTACATAGATTTAAGGCTGTGGTTTTTTTTAAAGGCTATTGATTAATTTAGCAGAGTTCTGCAGCGCATATAGAATACTTTGGATACCTTCAGAGGTGCTATTTTCCCTTGTAATATTATTTTACAGCATTT